AGGTGTCACAGAACGAGCGCTAAAATGGGCGCGCCGCCAAATTGTCGCGACGAAACGCCGGAGTGGCGCCGCGAGGTCAAAAGAAAAAGAAAACAAACATCTAAAGGCACCCCGGGGCGCGTGCTCTCCACACGGAAGCGTGGCTTCGCCGACGAACCTCCTCGCCCCACATCGGCGGCCGAGATAGCCCGCGAAAGTTCTAGAACGAAAGGGGCGTGGTCATACCGAGTTGAGTCATCGGCCGCGGAGGGCATTCCAACCGTCTCCCCTCTTCACAGCCTTCGCTGCGTATCGCGCCGATGAAATGACGAGAACCGTCTGGAATGTCGCGCGCAAGGTATTTAACCGAGCAGCCGAGATGAGAGATCAGGAGAAGACGGAAGTAGCGCCAGAGTGCGTAGGGATTCCGCCGTGTAGTCGGCGAAGGTTTCGTCCGTAGGGACGAAGCAGGAAATGAAGAGGATTTCTACCTGAGGGGTGACGACTCGAGCTACAGGCAAGAGTGTGTGTTTACCGCGATCGAGCGAAGACGCGTGGCGACAGCTGCGTGTGTGAAGCCGACGTGTTCGGGCGAAGAAGTTTGAAGCTTGGAGAGTGGCCTATTGAAGACGGGAGGTTTCCTAGAAGAGAAACTTCGGCGAGGTTTCCTGGAAGAGAAACTTCGAGGGCTGCGGAACGACAACAACGCTGGACTTTGAGTGAGTGATTCTCGGAAGAGTGTCATCTAGACTTTGGTTCCAAGAACTTTGGACTGAATAGGTTTTCTATCTCTTTAGTCTTTTAGTGTCTTGGTTGTTCAATGCATGCGACTGCATTGTAGTGCGTATTGTTGTCTGTGTCCGTTGTTTTGAGTGTGGCTGATTGTACTGTGTAGTGCGTTGTTTGATTGGTGACGTATTGTATGTAACTATTGTGGAGTGTGCATTTTTGTGTATGGTTTGCTATCTGCCATTGTTGAGAATATAATTTTGTTTGTTTATCAACTCTCGGCTCTGACTTGTTCTTTGGGCCACAGCCGGCGTCCGCTGGCGCGCCAAAAAGGACCACTTCTAAATTGTCCACGCTTTCGTGGTGCGGTTCGGGGGGCCGATACTTCGGCCCTTGGAATTAGCCCGGCGATCGCCTCCCTAATAAACGGGACGTGTGTGACAATTAATCTGGCGTCCGCGACACAGGACCTTTTGGTGCACAGTGTGTCCAAAGTAGTGAGAAAGAGCCTCGAGCTGTTTATAGTGCTATCGGAACGATTTTGTGTGTTGCTCAGTGTTCTCGTTAACGAGTGCAGGAGTGTTCCGATAGACTGATTTAGGCAGACATTTTTTGCACGCGGCAAGGTTTTATTTGCGAGACACAATGGATCTCGAAAAATTAGTCACTCTTGGTGAGAAGATGGGTCTTTCTGGCGCCGAACTACGGAAGTGGGTCACCCAGGAGGAAAAAGAAGAAAAAGAGAGAGCCAAGGAAGAAAAAGCAGCTGAGTTGGAACGAGAGAGGTTGGCAGCTGAGAGAGCCAAGGAAGAAAAAGCAGCTGAGCTGGAGAGAGAGAGGTTGGCAGCTGAAAGGGCGAGGGAAGAGAGAGAGCAGCAATTGAAGTTGGAGTTGGTGAGAGAGAGGTTGGCAGCCGAAAGGGCGAGAGAAGAAAGAGAAGCGAGGGAGCGACAGCTGAAAGAAGAAAGAGAAGCGGAGATGGCTGAAAGGGAACGGCAGCGGCAGCACGAGATGGAACTCGAGCGGCTCCGTTTGCAACAGCGAAGTGAAACTCCCGTCCGAGCTAGAGTTGAAAGCAGCGAACGGGAAGATCATGGCTTCCGCTTGAACCCAAGCAAGCTGCTCGTAGCGTTTGATGAGAGGAAGGACGACCTTGATGCGTACCTTCACAAATTTGAGACGATTGCGAGGAGCCAGAATTGGCCGGAACATCAATGGGCAACTGCTTTGAGTACTTGCTTGAGTGGTGAAGCGCTCAGTGTGTACGGCAGGCTGACGCCGACCGATGCAGCCAACTATGCAAAGGTGAAAGCTGCTTTGCTGAAGCGATTTAGATTTACCGTGGAAGGATTCCGGGACAGATTTCGGACAGAAAAGCCAGCTGATGGTGAGACGGCTACGCAGTACGCCGCCCGACTTAGTCATTATTTTGACAGATGGATTGAACTTTCATGGACAGCGCAGGAGTACGATGAACTTAGAGAGCTCCTAATTAGAGAACAATTTCTTACTAGTTGCCACCCAAGCCTGTCGCTGTACTTGAAAGAGAGGAAGGCTGAGTCACTTGAAGGAATGCTTGAATTGGCTGATCAATTCTTGGAAGCGCAAAGGGGAACTAATTTGGCCAAGGTCAAGAGGGATTGTCCCGATGATTCGAAGAAATTGGCTCCCGAAGAAAAGAAGCGTGCACCAGAGAGCATTCCGCGATGTTTTCTGTGCAACCGAGTGGGTCATCGCGCGAAAAACTGTCGAACGATCTTTACGAGCCCTACGGCAGTAAAATGTTTCAAGTGTGGTCAGACTGGGCACAAAGCAGATGCTTGTCGGAACGGAGTGAGTCAATCTCACCAGGTATCTTGTGTGCAAGCGGCACCGAAATCTGATAATAATGCCGTCACCGATGGATTCGTAGAGTTGAAGAATGGGGAGAAAATTCCTATTGTGGGTGCTGTAATGGCAAAACAGCCAACCGGTGTTACAAAGGGAATGCCAACGCTGCCTGGAAAGGTTGCAGGCAAGAAGATTACGGTTCTAAGAGACACCGGTAGCTCCACGGTTATCGTGCGGAGAAATTTGGTACGGGAAAGTGAGTTGACAGGCAGAACGAAACCGGTTTGCCTAATTGACCGTACGGTTCGGATGCTTCCCGAAGCAGAGATTGAGGTGGAAACCCCGTACTTCAGCGGGAAGGTTACTGCTTTATGCATGACGACCCCCCTTTACGACCTTGTCATCGGAAACATCGCCAAGGCGCGAGGACCGAATGATCCGGAATGTTTGGGAGAAGACCCTAAGATAGAGCCCTCGCCAACCCAGCGACCGCGAGATACAGTGGAGGAGCATCCCGTGACGGATTTCACTAGAGCCCAAGGTGAAGCCGCGGCGCAAGAGACAGCGAATGAGAAGACGATCGTGTTGAATGAGTTCACGCGCTGGGCAGCTGGACGTACGTCGGCACGACCCCAACCGACCGACAGTGTAAAGGAGACGGAGTCGGCCAGCCAGGCCAAATGTAGAGACATGAACAAGCTGGTAAATAAACAGACCGGACCCGTCGAACGTCATGACCCGTTAGCAGGGTCGGAAGTGACAACGATGGCTGAGACGCTGCCTCAGATGTCGTTGTTGGAAAAGACTCGCCGAAAAAGAACAAGGAAAAACAAGAAGAAATCGAGCGAGCACCGCAAGAAAGGGCGCAAGCGCCGCTCAAAGTACACAGGATAAGTGCTGAAGTCGAATCCGATTGTGTTTGGCAGTGCTGAGTGCCATATGTTGTGTTAATGTTGTGTTATCCTGTGTCACAAGTGTCGAAGTGTCTGTGCTGTGATGTGATGTATAGTGTTGTATAATTGTGGTAATGAGTGAACTTTGTACGTTTGTATTGTTTGGAATGTGTGACGAAGCGTTGTAGTCATGTACCTGTGGCTATATTTCATGTGTTGTGGAACTGAATTACAATGTAAAATTGTATTGAGTGAACTATTGCGAATGTGGCGTGTCATGAGCGACGGACTATGTTACAGTCTTTGAGTGTGTGGGGACTGTTCGCGCTCGTTTGTGTGGTTCTGAATATTATGAGATAGTATTCTTAAAGTGGGGGGCAGTGTCACAGAACGAGCGCTAAAATGGGCGCGCCGCCAAATTGTCGCGACGAAACGCCGGAGTGGCGCCGCGAGGTCAAAAGAAAAAGAAAACAAACATCTAAAGGCTCCCCGGGGCGCGCGCTCTCCACACGGAAGCGTGGCTTCGCCGACGAACCTCCTCGCCCCACATCGGCGGCCGAGATAGCCCGCGAAAGTTCTAGAACGAAAGGGGCGTGGTCATACCGAGTTGAGTCATCGGCCGCGGAGGGCATTCCAACCGTCTCCCCTCTTCACAGCCTTCGCTGCGTATCGCGCCGACGAAATGACGAGAACCGTCTGGAATGTCGCGCGCAAGGTATTTAACCGAGCAGCCGAGATGAGAGATCAGGAGAAGACGGAAGTAGCGCCAGAGTGCGTAGGGATTCCGCCGTGTAGTCGGCGAAGGTTTCGTCCGTAGGGACGAAGCAGGAAATGAAGAGGATTTCTACCTGAGGGGTGACGACTCGAGCTACAGGCAAGAGTGTGTGTTTACCGCGATCGAGCGAAGACGCGTGGCGACAGCTGCGTGTGTGACGCCGACGTGTTCGGGGCGAAGAAGTTTGAAGCTTGGAGAGTGGCCTATTGAAGACGGGAGGTTTCCTAGAAGAGAAAACTTCGGCGAGGTTTCCTGGAAGAGAAACTTCGAGGGCTGCGGAACGACAACAACGCTGGACTTTGAGTGAGTGATTCTCGGAAGAGTGTCATCTAGACTTTGGTTTCCAAGAACTTTGGACTGAATAGGTTTTTCTATCTCTTTAGTCTTTTAGTGTCTTGGTTGTTCAATGCATGCGACTGCATTGTAGTGCGTATTGTTGTCTGTGTCCGTTGTTTTGAGTGTGGCTGATTGTACTGTGTAGTACGTGTTTGATTGGTGACGTATTGTATGTAACTATTGTGGAGTGTGCATTTTTGTGTATCCTGAAAGTCAGCCAGCCTAATGGAATAGCGTCGTAAGACGGGAAGTCCTTACAACAAACATCCATCGTGTTGTGTTTTGAGCGGCTTACAGTGTATCATAAGCACAACACCATAACAAGTTACCGTCTGCGTGTGCTTCGTGCATATACTGACAACAGAAAAAGAACTTCCGGTGTAAATAATTTACCGGAATGTACGGAGCAGAGAACGCTGTTGAAAAGAAAGTGGTTTATATACGCGCGTCATGCTTACTTCAAAAATAGATATGTTCTCCGAATGCATGTATTGATCAGTTCCGCAGCGAGAGTAGTTCGTCCACGTCCGGTTCTGGGATGGGCTGAAAAACCACGTGCCGTTCTCCAAGCATTTCTTTGTGGCGACTTCTGTAAAAAGAAACAAAAAAACACAGCGCGTGGAATTAGTGAGAAGCCTTGACAGTGACCACAATTTCTGAACAAAATAAACCAAAATAATAACACATAGCATAACGATATAGAAAATAGAATAAAGCTTTGGTGTGACAACATGTATAAACTTCTGGTTCGTGAAAAAGTATTGCAGCGTTCAGCCCGAGAAGATGAGGCAAGGATAAGTTTTTCCTCGTTTTCCCTTTTACTGTGTATCACAAACGCCCAATTTTCGGTAGCGATGAACGCTTACTAACCCTGACAGGTGCGACAACGTGAAAAGAGACAAGTTGCATCCATTGACGCCGATAAGTTGCTTCCTGCAGTGTGTTGCTCCAGTACGTTTGATCATGCGTGTAATTTCATGAGCTGGCACGAGTACATGCAGATAGATATCTCTAGGAAAGAAAAGCTTGCTAGTTAAAAGAATGTCTGTCCCAGTGGTAGAGCAGACAATAGATGGACGTGTAGGTGTGTCCACATGCAGTGTGGCGGGGCCTCACTGTCAGCCCCAAACTGGTATCTGATTCGGCTAGCTGAATTGTGTATGAAAATTTACTTCCAAAATTATAATAATATTTTACTTTTCAATAATTGCGTCAAAGAAAGTCATGTTTCTTGTTCCTTTGTTTTAGATGCTGAAACGACCACACTGAGATTGCACACTCGGTTCTTTACTCAATGCGTCGTGTTTTCTAACGCAAATATGTTCCATGCCGGAGTTCACCAAAGCTCCACTGACGTATTCCCGTCACTGATCTGACGTTCATAAAGTGGATGGTACTGAATGAGGAAGAAAAAAAAAACAATTCAAAATTGCTCACCACAGAAATGAAACCTGGGACCCCTAACCCCGCGGCGGTAAGTGCCCGGCGTTCTAACAGAGATACTGAGGATCATGCGATCATGTATAAAACTCCGAAAACACACCGTGTATGTATAGAAACCATCGTGAGAGCGCAACTAAACACAACACACAAGAAGAAACAGACGAGACGTGTGTTGCGTTTAGTTGCACTTTTACGATAGTTCCAATGTCAAAGCTCCAACACGCCCTACAGACAACTCTCTTGAAGCACCTTGTATAATTCACGCGTTTCCTCTCACATAGAAACAGTGGGGCGGTACCAAGAGGGGTAGTGTTGCATGAGCGCAGGCGTAGGTTTTTAGACGTGCGCAGGGTTCCCATCAGGAGGGGCGAAGATTCATCGAAGTGACCCCTCCCCCCTTACTACGCCAAAGTACGGGGCAGATTTGCGCGACTGACTGACCGACCGACCGACCGACCGACCGACCGACAGACTGCCCCTCCTCCTCCTACTCCTCCCCATCCTTACATCCATCCGTCCATCCGTCCATCCATCCATCCATCCATCCATCCATCCATCCATCCATCCATCCATCCATCCATCCATCCATCCATCCATCCATCCATACATCCGTCCGTCCGTCCGTCCGTCCGTCCGTCCATCCGTCCATCCATCCATCCATCCATCCATCCATCCATCCATCCATCCATCCATCCATCCATCCATCCATCCATCCATCCATCCATCCATCCATCTAGCGCCGCCTACGTCTGGGTATGTCATGAATAACATGACAATCTTGTCAGGCACATATTGTCAAACGCTTTCCTCCGGACACGGGTGGCATGCCAAGGGCCGCGGTTATGCGTTACAGGTTATGCGCCACAGGTGACTGACAGTTTATGTCTGCTGCAGGGACGACAAGAACACGCATTATTAATTGAAATGAGGGAGCGTTAATAAAAACAGTCATCGCAACGTTGACCTGACAAACACAAAGAATAAAAAAAATTGCAGCATATCCACAGAGTGAATGATGGAGAGTGGGGCGAAGCATTTGTGCGCCTATTCGTTCTTGCTTCCGTCCGTCCATGCGTGCGTCTGTGTGGCCGCCCGTGCGTCCATCCGCCCGCCCGTGCGTGCGTCTGTTCGTGCGTCCGCACGTCCATCTGTGCGTCCGTCCCTGCGTTCGTTCATGCATCTACTCCTGCGTCCGTCCGTGCGTCCATCCGTCCGTGCAGCCATCCGTGCGTGCATCCATGAATCTGTCTGTGTGTCCGTTCGTCCACCTATTCAACACTCTAAGTACCACCATCTCGCATCTTTTCATCATATATTCCTCATGTAGAAGCACCACCATCCAGCGGAAATTCCAAAGACTGAACGAGAGGAGGCACACGCACACTTTCTTACGGCTTGCGCTTCGTGTCTACTTCCCACCTTTAACCACCTAGAGTTCATGGTAAATACTAGTTCACTGTTTTTATGGCACTGCGGCCCAACGCTCACTAAACCTTTCTAAAACCAAAGAGGTTACGCCCAGCGAGTATAACGTAGCAACACTTTCTTGTGAGATAGTGCTCAATGTACATGCCAATGACTGCTAAGGGGGAATGAGAGACAGGGGAATTCGGCTTTTAGTTAACGCGCACGCTGCGAATTTTTCATTGTTCAACAACGCACAGAAGAGATCTCCCACCGGCACCACCTTGGAGGTCAAAATGCAAGACTGGTTACACACTACGACTACTACTACGACTACAAGAAATGAACGGGTGCCGCTATAAGGAGCTTCGCCCCTAAAAAAAATTCAGTATTCCAACATGAACCAAACCCAAGCATTCTGCATGGCAGTCAGGTATTCTACCACGGAGCCACGCCTTGAAACTGATTATGAAAGAGGCCTTACCCACGCGTAATGTCGATGCAATGTCAACTGTAGTTATAGTGCGGGCTATCTGATTTTCTAAAAAAAAAAGCAACCAACATCACGTATGTACCCCAATGATAAAGGCGTTATGCTGAGTTGAGGCCAAATATGGTTCCAGTGTTCACTCTAATTTTAAAGCAGAATAATAAACATTATATTTGTGTCTCCTAATTCAGGAAGCTCTCTCTCTCTCTCTCTCTCTCTCTCTCTCTCTATATATATATATATTATATATATATATATATATATATATATATATATATATATATATATATATATATATATATATATATATATATATATATATATATATATATATATATATATATATATTGCAACGAGCGAGTTCACGTGTATGCACTCGTTATTATTCAAGAAGCGTTAGCCACAACAAGCTGGTTCAGACAGGAACCCGATATGCACGATCCACACGGACGTCAATGTCTTTTTTCACAATGGCAAAGAGCTGGCACCACTATGCCCCGGTACAATTACTCCCCGCGCAGAAAAGAGCAAACCTGGCGATCTAAGGAAATGACAGGGGCAGGACGGTTTGAGGCGTGATACGTGAACCGTTTCACGCCCACGGCAACGTAGGTACGAAGGTGTATCTACGGGCTTAACTTCATAGTTGGCGGGAGATGTTTGTCGCACCACACGGTAGGGGCCATGGTATTTCGACGACAGCTTTGGAGAAAGACCGGGAGAGGTAGACGGGACCCGGAGCCAAACCAACATTCCTGGGTTATAGTGGGCTCTAGACGCAGAGGCATCGTGGTCAGTTTTCTGACGCCATTGGTCTTGCGCGGTAAACGAGCGAGCAAGTTGACGGCACTCTTCAGCATAAGCAGCTGCTTCGGAAACGGGCGTCGCTTCAGAAACACCAGGTCTATAAGGGAGAATGGTGTCTATGGAGCATGATGGTTCACGTCCGTACAGGAGGAAGAAACGAGAGAATCCGGTGGTTGTTTGTGGCGCGGAGTTGTACGCGTACGTTACAAAAGGCAGCACTTGGTCCCAATTAGTGTGTTCATCAGATGCGTACATGGCAAGCATATCTCCAAGGGTACGATTAAAGCGTTCTGTCATGCCATTGGTTTGAGGATGGTATGCCGAGGTTTTCCGATGGACAGTGCGACATTCCTTGAGCAGCTCGTCGACGGTGTTCAAGAGAAACACACGTCCACGGTCACTCAGTAATTCACGAGCTGCACCGTGTCGCAAAATCAGATGGTGAAGAAGAAAGGACGCAACGTCTTTCGCAGTGGTAGCAGGCAGCACAGATGTTTCAGCGTAGCGTGTTAAATGATCCACGGCGACGATAATCCACCGGTTGCCTCGAAGAGAGTTGGGTAGAGGACCATAAATATCAATTCCGACGCGGTCGAATGGTCTCGCTGGACAGGTTAAGGATTGCAAAGGGCCAGCAGTGCTGTGAGAAGGCGTCTTGTGGCGTTGACACGTGGCACACGACCGAACGTACTGGCAAACGTTCCGATACATGCCGCACCAGTAGTATCTTAGACGAAGGCGAGAGTAAGTCTTGAATATTCCAGCGTGGCCACATCGGGGGTCATCCTGAAAGGCAGCGCAGATGTCCGAGCGCAAATGACGAGGGATGACAAGGAGCCACCTACGACCATCCGTCTCGTAATTGCGGCGATACAACAAGCCTTCACGGACAGCAAAGTGTCTTGCTTGACGAGAGAGGGACCGTCAAATTGATTCTGACGAACTGTGAGAAAGGAAGTCGAGTAAAGAATTGATCCAGGGATCCTTGCGCTTCTCGGCTGGCATGTCGGTGATGCTCAGCGATGACGAGTCGCAGATGGCAGTTATAAGCAGGCACGGTTAGGAGGCAGCGGAGAACGGGATGGGGCATCGGCGTCTGAATGTCTGCGTCCTGAGCGATAAACAACACGGATGTATTCCTGAAGGCGTAAAGCCCAACGAGTGAGACGGCCAGTAGGGTCTTTCATGGACACTAGCCAGCATAAGGCATGGTGATCTGTGACAACATCAAACTGGCGTCCGTAAAGGTAAGTGCGAAATTTTCCTTTGACCGAAACGATAGCCAAGCACTCCACTCCTTTTCTGTGACGGAACAGTTGGACTCTGCCTTCGGTAGTGTACGGCTGGCATAGGCGACAACGTACTCTTCGCAGTCATCCTTGCGTTGAGCGAGAATGGCACCGAGGCCAACACCGCAAGAATCCGTGTGAACTTCAGTAGGTGCA